TCTATCGATCATGTCTTCAGTGATCGATAGTGATACACTTGGAGCAGAAAAAATGGGTCCAGGTTCTGCAAAACAAGGTAAAAGAATACTTATGCAATACTATAACTAACAATATAAATTCTATTCTGACCTCGAAATACTTACAAAAGATAGTCGTTCATAAATATATAGTATCCGAAAGATCTATTGAGAAAATTAACATAAATAATATCTTTTATACAATTCAGACGATTGAGTTGACTTTTTTTTTTTGATATTATGTTACTATCCCAGGATGGCTGATCCTATCGAGTCCGACAGGGATTCGTTGAAAGGTGTCGAAGTCCTTGGTATGGGATTCCGACAGGAAGTTATCGGAAAGTGTCAGAGTGACTGCGAGTCCCCCCCAGGTCGAAAAATCTGACATAAAATCTTATCATCTGCACGTAAGATCTTACAATATGGACGAAATCTTACAAGAATCTGACAAAAAATTGTTTTCTCAGAAATCTTGTATCAGATCATACTATTAGATTCGCGAAAGATCTTACTGTCTGATTGTTTGAACTGGGAGCATTCCGATACTTTCCGACGGGATCCTGTTGGAATTCGATAGAATCCTATTGAGCAGTTTCTCTTTGAGATCGCGTTCATATAGAACAGAATCGATATGTGGACTATCACATACTGATATCTGATATTCGTAAAACATTTCAATGAACTTATTGACAATTTTAAATATGTTATATTATATTTAATTCAAGGTCTTGGTTCTCGAGCTACATCAAAAGTAACATTTCGTGATGGAGAAGGAAAATCAAAAACTCAATCATCAGCTCATCCAAGTGAAGGTGAACATCGTTCATCAAGTGTACCACCAAATCTTCAACTTCAATATCAACAACAACAACTTGGTGATTTAAAAAAAAAAGATACTTTAAATCCATTTAAATTTTCACCTGATGTGGATTTTTGTGCATTAAGTCAACTTGATAAACATGAAAAAGCACAAGTAATAGGGTTTTTTTTTTGTTAGTTTTTATCATTCAAATAGATATATTTCATTTTAAAAGGAACGTGAACGTATGCAAACTCTTAAAGTACATGAAAAATTATCTAAAGCTCAACGTCTTATGAAAGGAAGACGTTTTCGTGTATTAAAAGAAATTGATGATGAAATTGAACAAGAAGTAAAAGATTTTAAAATAAATAAACAAACTTAAAAAATCATTTTTCATATTTTCTAGCGTGCACAAAATAAAGAAAATCGTGTTGCATCAATGCGTGATAATGCACCATGGCTTGTTGCTATTACACGTAATCGTCGTGTTGAAAATGAAAGTTTACAAGATTTTATTGGAAAAAAACGTAATATGTTTGTTTTACAAGTAATTATTTTTTTCTATAATTCTTTTTGTTTAATTATAATTATTATATTTGGTTTTTTTTTTCTCAAGTATGAATTAACAGTTAAACGTACTGAAATGCGTAAACTTGAAGAGATAACGGCTGCTGAAGAACAACGAATTGAAAAAGCAGAAAAAGATTTAGAAGAAGATGCAGTATGATTTTATTATTGTCAATTAATATAATCCTGTTCTTTTTTTTTGTTTTGTTTTCTAGCATATGTTTGATCAATTTCTAGCAGCAAATAATAAAAATGCTAATGAAGCAGCTCGTTTGTAAGGACGTTTTATTTTTTTTTTTTGAGAGACAAATATTTTTTTGTGTCAAAATTAGAGCTGATGAAGAAGCACGTAAAAAATTAGAAAAAGTTGCAGAAATAAAACGTTTACATGGACAAATAACAGCATTAAAAAGTGAACTTGTACGACGTGAAGATGAATTAAATGAATTAAAACAATATAAACAATTTCTTGATCAAATTACACCATCAGTATCTAATATTTGATTATTTATTTTCCTAAGAAAATCTAAATTTTTTTTTGTTTTCTAGGAATGGAAAGACGAACGTCGTAAAAAACTCGAACAAGAACGTCTATTACGTCAAAAACTTGATGTACAATCAGCTGTATCTGATGATTCAGCAAGTAAAGCAGGTAGTCGTCCACAAAGTCGTGTTGTTGATCCTAAAACTGGTAAACGTGGTGGTCCATTAACACAAAAAGGTTTTACTAATGTTGGTACTCGACGTCGTTCATCAACTTCTTCTCATGATGTAGAATTAGGTGTTAGACAAGGAAGTGAAATGGATATACATAAAATATCACCATCTGAAATGAATATAAATGATTTAGATAATGATTTTGAATTATATTTTACTGATCCACAACAATTATTAGCAATATTTACTGAACTTGAAGAACAAAATTTATCATTAATACAAAATAGTCAAGATCATGAAGAACAATTAGAAGAAATAACACGAGAATTACAAATAACAATGAGAAAAAAAAATCTTGAAACTGAATCTTTACAACGACAAGTTAATCATTTAGAACAAGCAATTGAATTAGAAGAACAAAAAGAAAAAGAATTAATGGCAAAAGTTGGGTAAAAAAAACAAAAAAAAGAGAGAATTTTCAAAAAAGTCTAATTCTATCGTTTCTTTGTTTTTTTGTTAGTGCTCATTCATTATTTAATGAAGATGGTAAACAAGATGAATATCTTGCTCAATTATCAGCAGTTATAAGTGATGTTTATAAAAAAATTTTTAATGAAAATCCTGTTACAAGTGATCCATTAAAAAATCTTGCATCAATTGAAAATCGTCTTGAAGAATTATTTCAAGAAATTCAACTTATGGATCCATTACGTTTACAAGAAGCTGAAAAAGGTAAAGAAAAAGAACGACGTATTCGTTTACGTGAACAAAAGAAACTTGAAGAAGAACGTGCTGCTGAAGAAAAGAAACGTAAAGCTGCATTACGAGCTAAAGAACCACCTAAGAAACATGTTGGTCGTCCAATAGCTGAACGATCAAGACCACCTGAATTAAAAAAAACCGATCAAGATACAATCAACAAAACAAACGAAGAAGAAGAAGAACTTGCTTATTATTTTACTTAAAGATTTATATATATATATATATATATCTCATTACAGTGATGCGTCTTTTTTTTTCCGTCCATTTTATATTAAATTTTTTTTCTTCCTGTTCGAATGAATTTTTAATATAATAAAGTATTCATTTTGCTTTAGTATATATTTCAATTTTGAAAGTTATTTTAACAGAAATTTCCAATTGATAAATGGTTTTGAAGTTTGAACTCTATGCTTATAAAGCTCCACAAGGATAAATGCTCTTAGACCTTCTCTTTAGAGTCTTGGAACCCAACTGCATTCTTCGACGGGTGCGAATCACAGTATTTATGTAATTGGTCGTGTATGCATTTGGCCAATGCTAGTTAATCCATTGATTAAATACAAATGATTATTAAATATACTTTCAGTTTTTCTATTCATTTCTACATACATAAATCATCCTTTTAATGGCAACAACATTCATCCACTTATATTTATTTGATATAAATTTCGAAAAATAAAACTATTAAAGAACAACAAATAAAGCAACGGTTGATTTCTATCAAATTTAATATTACTTTTTCAATGAACTCATATTTCCTGTGCGCGAAAATCGATTTTCTTTAAAAAAGTTGTTAGCGCAATCCATGCGAGATTAAAATGGGAAATATGATGTAGCTGTTGTTACTAATCATGTAGATATTGTTTTCTTCGATATACCTAGAAACCTATTGATTCATCATTTTCTACTTAATCTTCTAGAACTGCAATAAGGAATCAGTTGATATATTCTCATCAGATTCCAGTGATACATATCATCGCTTGAATATTAGATATTCTGTCTCTCTATCTTTATTTCTGTCATCTTTCCGACCTCTTTTATATTTCGTTCTATACATCTGTCACACTTTTTCTTCATTGTTTCGTGTTGTTTTGTGTATGTATTCGAATGAATGCACGTACAAATGTTTATTCTCATATGACTTCGTACTTTACATTCAAGGAAATAAATGTAGGTTTTCGATTCTACATCATGTGACAAAAAAGAAGAACTTTGCAAATATATACAAGGTATTGTACATTTGATACCAGTGACTTATTCCTCTTTCATCAAACATTTGCTTTATCTTACATTTTCTGCTTGGTTCTTGTTGTTTCATATATTTTCTAACTGGAAATAAACAAGAGATCAAAATAGTCGATTTTTCGTTTCTACGAAGTCTGTTATTATGAATCATAAGGAAAGTTGTATTGGACAAACTCCTTTGCTTGGCACTATTCACTAGCGATGTCAGCTGAAAAATTGACTCTTTTCAGTTGACTGCTACTTCTCTCATACGATTGAAAAGGCCATAAATGTTTCCGTAATTGAAAGGCGATAGTAACAGATGTAAGTTAATGAATAACTTTTTCCACTCTTCTCTTATGTAATACATATCTTTCTATGATCTTCTTTCTTCTATTTTACCACTAATCATCCTTAAGTCATTCTTGAGCAATCTTTCTTTCCCTCTCTCTTCTTTACTATTTACACTGTCGTTTTTCTATTTTTTCTGCAGTTGATTGTAGTTTTAGTGTGATATAACAGTGTCTTCATTCTTTTTCTGTATTTTGCAATCATTTCATTTATCTCGAATAGCGAAATATAGAAAAAGAGTGAGAGTGTGTGAATATTTTTTTTGTTTTTACTCAGAATTAGAACGAATGATCCTTCCACACCCGTTTTGATCCTGAAAAAAGAAAAGAAAATGTTACAAGTTTTGTGGATCTTTCCGTTTTTTTTCTCTGAAGTATTGCCTTCTTTTACCTTTCGAAATAGGATTAGATCCAATATTTTGTAAGTAATTTTTTAGAGAAAAGGAATAACAGCCTGCAATTTTCAGCTTCCAGCTGTAAACACTTTAAGATATATAACCACGAAAAAAGAATTATTTTAAAGTCCACTTCTAGTACTTTGTTATTCACTTTATATTTTAGATAATTTTTTTTTCATTTTTCTCATAAATCATTTGTCAAGAAGAAAAATCGAATCTATTATGGGTCAAATTTACAGTAATCCAATTCAAGTATTAGCAGAAGCTCAGCCTGGAGATATAATTCAATTTGAGAGAGGATGGAATCAATCCCATTGTGGAATCTATGCTGGTAAATATTTAACTATCTGTCTTTGAAAAGATTTCATGAATATTTTTAATTCTTTTCTTTTTTTCGATAGGAAATGGCAAAGTTATTCATCCGTAAGATTAATATCTGTGAATGTTTAGAGACAGTGGTGAAACCAAGGATTAGTTTCTTTTCTTGGTTACGCCACACCGTGTGAAATAGAGCATAGTGTTATTTCTAAAATTATTATCTTCCTTACCTTGATGTACATTTAGGTCGGTCGAAGATTGTGATCGTCGACAACATGGTCCTCCTCGAGTAATTGAAAGCAACTTTTCCGATTTACTTCAAGATCGTAAAGCAAAAATTAATAATCATTTCGATCAAAAGACGAAGTATGTCTTACTTTTTGTTTGTTTTCATAATGTAGTAGGTGTTCTTTTTTGGTGTATTAATTTTTAGACCTACCAAGTGATGAAATTCTTAAACGTGCTCGTGGCTATAATTTCGGAAAGTATTATTGGAATTCTACAAGTAACCATTTTGCAGCTGAATGTTTGTAGTCTATCTATCTCTCTACTGTTAAATTTCATAAACGTTTATTCAATTATTACTTTTAAGGTCGCTATGGACAAGATTGGAACTCAATGTATAAAAAATATTGTACATCGTTTGGGTTCTAGAAGGTAAGAAAGAAGACAATGCAGTGGTAGAAGATTCGTTCGGTAAGCAAGAGATAGAGGAATAATAAAAATGTCTAAAAGGGGATGTACTTTGATTTCACATAATATTTTTATCCATTCCTATTTCTTTCTCATACTCTAATCACGCTCGAACTCGAAAAAATTTCGTTTCGTTTTAGAGAAGTATGACTAGAAAATCTGAAAAACATCTGACCAATTGGACGAAAAACTTACCTTTTAAAATAAAAATGCAGTATCTCAGGAACAAAAAAAGCCTTTGTATTTCTATCATCACAATGCGGCGAATCTTTCTATCGGAAAATATTGTTCTAAACGTAAATCCTCAGAATATTGATAGGTTTGCAATCGAAAAATGTCCAATTTTTGAGTTCTCAAGAAAAACTGGATTTTTGAAAGATCCGATGATGATCCAAAAACTTTAAATTGTCACTGTTTAAGATTGATCAGAATGGAAAAAAATTGACTTTTATCGGAAAAAGAGATGGTTTCTCGGTTTCCTTGATTTTTCAGTTTTTGTCATGCGAACTATCCATGACGTACGCACACTGAAAGTTCAAATTTTTGTGTTACCCAGTGCACATGACAAAAAAGTGTACAAAATCGATCGGAAACACACTAAAAATATGCATGACACAAGAGTGTGGCAGAGAAAATTGTAAATTGATAGCGTATGTTGCTCTTCGATGTGCGTCGAAGGTGTATAATTTATCCACAAAAAAAATTGTGCTCTTTCATTCAGTCTTTGAATTTTTGGCATCTTAATAAAAAATATATGTTAAAAACTTGCATGCTATGTCTCTTTTTTTATTTAAGGTAAGATTCCATCAACTTCGTTTTTCGCTAAACAAAATAAAAATGGACACAAGTAAATTTACCGGTGGCGTCTTATTTCTTGTTTTTTTGTTATAAAACAATTGGTGAAACTAAGTCTCATATTTTTTTTCTCTATTCTATTTTGTTTTCTCAACTTTTTCTGTGTCTTTCACTTTATTTACTGCATACACTTTTCTAAAGTCCACTTGTATACATCTATATTAACTTGAAATTTTTTTGGTGCTCTTCTCCTTTAACATTGATCTTTTTTTGTCTTTTTTTTGACAATAAACAAGATGCCAGGATTTCTTTCTTTTTATTTCAATAAATAGGGTGTACTTTCACTTCACACAAGTCCTGGACTGTAAAAAGTATCTTTTTTACATAGTGACTATGATATTTTAGTGTGTGGGTGTGGGTGTGTATCTTCTTTTCATTGACACCTACACTCACATCCTCAATAAACACCCGGTCTGACAAGTATAATTCCTGTAATCGGAATGGACTTAATAATTCAGCAAGAGATTTTCAAATCAAGCTGATATTTTGGATTTCATACTATCTCTATAAGGCTTCTTTCTTTTAACATATATATATATATATAAATCGAAAATGAAGAAAAATTTCTTCGATCAATAGTTCGCTTTCTGGCGGACTGTATCTTAAAATAAAAAAGAATAATTTTAAGTAGAACATTTATTTAATAAAATTGAATACAAAGTATTTTCATGTGGTATACGTAATTGAAAGCTTAATATTCCAACAACAGGTATTAAAAGTCCAATAGCATTAAAAAAAGCTCCCCAAAATGAAGATACTTTCTGTTGAACAACTAAAGTTCCAGCAAATGTACCAAAATTATTTGCAACAGCAGCAAGTAAAGCTAAATATGCTGAATATTTCGTATAAGATGGAAATAATTCATGACGAAGTATCATTCCATTTGGTCCACAATAAATATAATGCCATTGCAATAATGTTGTCAATGAAAATATAGCAGTTAATGTAACAGTAAAAACAACAGCTGCTGATGAAGGTGTTACTGTAACTTCTTGTAATTTTGGATGAACAGATTTGAATGGAAATCTTATAAATACTTCCCATAATTTATAAGGTTTATGTTTTAATCCAACTTGATAAGGTCGTTTTGGTGGTTTGAAATATTCTAAATCAAGTTGTGTAGCATAATAAGGATTTGTCATATTAGTATAAATATGTTGTACAGAATCATTCCAAGCAAAAAAACATGTAATAAAACTATAGATTGCACATACATATCCAAAAGGAGCAAACCATGATTGAGCACCAAAATACCATACTAATGACCATCCAACAAATGATAATCCAAGAGTAACACCAACACCAAATGCTCGTATTGTTGGAATATCAAAACTTGGAATTCTTTGGGGAATAAGAAGAGCACCAAATATACAATTGAAAGTAACACTTAATATAGCTATAAAGTAAAGATATCTTGGAGGATGTTCATTCGTCCATGAATTATATATTATCAATCCCATAGGTAATAAAAGAGAAAGAATACCACATAAACGATGAATAATAGATGTAAATGCTTTCCAACTGCCAATACGAGTCAATGGAAGTGACCAAGTCAATATGATCAGATAAGGTGCTAATGTAAGATAGAAGAATATTGTCCAAGATTCGATTAATGAGAATAACGTAATACATATTAAACATAATATACAAAGTCCAATCAACCATACATTGAATGGACCTATAGTATGATATAATTTATGAAATATACGTGTTAGAGATGAAAATTTAGTAGCTTTATCATTATAAAACAATTTCATGTCGATATATTTTTTTATATGTTGGAATGAAAGCGATTCATTAGAAAGTAAATGCCATGTAAAGCCAATGTTATTTTCTTCCATAGTTTCTACTAGTTAAAGTATGACGATAGAAAATGCTAAGGTTTAATAGAAAAAAAAAAATCTAAGACTCTATTCATACTAACAACAGTGAGAGATATATATAATGACACAAGAAGGAAGCAAGAGATGACGTCATGAACAGAATGTCTACACTACAGATAATAAGTGTTTCTACGTCATTTAAAGAATTTCATCACGACTAGTCATTATAATGCAATTTATTTAGTTTATTTTGCATCAATGATAGAATTGAATCATTGCCATTGTTTTCTTGACTCATAAATAAACATGAATGCCATAGAAAAAAAAACTCTGCATCATATAATAGCCATTTGCCAGGTAAAAGCCAAACTGCCAAGTATCACTATATTTATATCAATGATGATAACAACTTATCTTTTGTGTGATAGTGACTACTATTTTATTCTTTTTATTATTAACAAACATTATTCTTGGAAAAGTATTAAAAAAAACATTCAAAAGTTTATCAGTTTTTTTTTGAGACATAATCAAATGATGAATCATTGTAGGCAGGAGTGTCTCGAGGTTGCCAGGATTGGGTAGGGCTAATGACTCATACGATCGATTGGAAGATTTTCATTACAAATGACTGGATTTGGGTGAGATTTCAAGGAGTAAAAAAAAAAGGAATAAAACTTTGAAATTTTGCTGGAGAAAAACGAAAAATTCTCAACATTGGGGAATGATTCCTCGCTCGGGACATTTCTGATTGTATATGACAACAACATGTTATATAAAATGAAGTTAATCGATATTCGAGACAAGTCTATCTATATGTTTGAAGTCATATAAAATGCGAAAGATAAATACTGTTGTTATGAAATATATGAAACAAACATTCTTTTGAATTTATTAATGGAAGACTGATAGATAAAAAAATTAACATTGAGAAATAAACAAAACACATTTAAACTTGTTATTGCAATAGAAGTTCTCGGGCTTGTAAAATGCCCAAGTATTCAAAAATTTCACGGCAGAATTCTACTATCTACAGTTAACCAATTTTGTCCTGCACTGATGCTGCATATGCAGGACTTGCAAGTTAATATATAATCTCATTACTATCAGTAGTAGCCATACCAATGACTAGTGCTTCGTTGAAAAGATTATTTAGCTCAGTTGGATTTACATTTACTCGAAGATCACTACGTTTATTATCAAATCAAATTGACAACATACTATTTATTCTTGGGATCCGAAAGTTTAAGCATGGAATGATCAGTGCGAAGAAAAGATAGCCCATGGTTGATAATATCTATGGTAAATAAATCTCTTCTATAACTTCTATCATTGTTCAGAAAATGAAACTTTACTGACAAGTATTATGAGAAATGATGGTTCAGATTTAACATAGTAGCTAGTCTTGCAATATCTTATTCCTAACTCAGATGTATCTATCTACTGTAGAAATACCAGCCAAAGCGGTGAGATCGATTGTGCAACTTTATGCTGGAGGTAGTCGTCAGTTAGTTGGAATGATTCCTAGACAGAAATTTTCTCAATTCGTATTGACTCAGAATGAGACTCAATAAATTCACAATTTCAAGTTCTATCGATTTGTATAAGTGACTAGAGAAACGATGTTCACAGTGGATTAGAACGTATTTTACTAATACCCATTCTGAATTGATTGTTGTTGAAGAATATCTTCAAGTAACATTGAATCAACAATTACTCGAATTTTTCTTGTAACTGTCATTTTGCTCTTTTGAATGATCTGAATACTTCATTCTTTTCTCAAGTGTTACGACTATCGAGCGTGATAATAGAAGTATTCTGTCGACATCATCAAATGAGTAATATGCTAGAGGTGACATGGGCTGTATACATCGTATGAATCATTCGTTCTCTTCCTAACGAGAGATAGAATCGAATGCTGACAACAAAAGGCATTTGCAACTGTTGTATCATGAGAGAGTTGCTAAACTATATCCTTTTTAGAGACAATTTTGCGTTGTACTGGTTAATTATATCCTAGCAGAGACACATCTCTCTCTGTCAATTTCCACTTGTTCATCCCAAAGATGAAATTTAACTATGGATTAAAAATGTTTATTGTTATATGAATTTCAAAGAATTAACTCGAAACAATATATTTGCTTTCGAGTTTGATTAAAATTTTCATCTCTTGTTTTTTATTTTCAATTCAATTCATATTAGTCATACTATTATCGAGAAAGAAAAAAGAAATTTGCGAACAGTTACTTGAAATTTTCCAATCATGATTCAACAACAAACGAAAACACGTGTGCTGAAATTTGTGTATTTCTTATCGAATGAAAGAAGATAATAAAAAAAGAAATTGTTATGGCCATTTAACAAAATACCCAGAGAACGAACAAAAGAAACAGCAAGTCTTGTATCATCGTGTTTTATATTATTAAGAATTTTGATGAATACTCCTTCGTTGTTACCACTTTTCTCAAGTATTTATTATCAACAACTTCCCGACATACATAAAAAACGTATTGGCTACCTTAAAAAAGCATTTTATATTGTACTTAGTACTTTATTATTCGCAATTCCTACTGAAACTCACTCACAAATGATCAATACCTTTTTTGGACCATATCACGTTCGTTCTCATGAATTCAAACAACTTGCCTATGCATTCCATCGTAGTCGAACAACTTTTTTCTTCTCAACTTTGGATGATATTTACTATTTTATCTTTCATAAAATCTATCTTCAAGTTGAATTTGATGAAAACAATATCGAACACGCATCTCTCTATTCACCTCGTATTTATACTGATGATAGAAAACGAACACAATGTATCGCTACATTTCACAAAGTTCTTCATCCTGATATTGCTGCCATCTTCTTTCCTGGTAGATTATATGTGAAAGTTCCGACAAATATTTCCATCAAATTTCCATTTGATTTTACCGCATTTAGTACTAAAACACTTCGTTGCATTGTTCGAGCACTCGGCATCAGTCCATTCGAATATAATACGATGACTGAAAAACAAGACTATCGATTAGTAATTGAATCGAGCTATGAGAAAAACATCATCTATTTCAATGATGTTGTTCTAGTTCAATGTGGAATTTTTGTTGGCTATTTAAAACCATCGAAATATGAAGTTAGAAAGGCTTATAGATCAAAAAGAGAAAGTTATTCATTTGAGTTCGATTATTACGATTTTATTTTTGATGCTGTACAAATTTATCGAGCACGATTTGCTTGTTTTCTTGGATTTATAGCATATGGTGGTTGTCTCGTTTTATTATTGTCTTATCTAGGCTGTTTATTATTCTATTTACTTGAAAAGATAATCCTGATTCGGTGGCGAGTCTTTTCACGTTATTCGCGTGCTCTTCAAGACGAGCTGGATCGATGTGATATTAAGAATCTTGCTAGTCTTGAAACTCTGTGCAATGTAATAACCACCGATTGGTGTCCATTCAATAGTCGAGTATTTCTTTTGGATAATGGTCGAATCATCGTGTTAAGTTACGTTTTTCTCGATGAAAGGTCAGTAACTCAAACTGAATCTCTGTTTCGTCTTATCAATGTAGATCAAGTATCTCATATTGATAAATATCGAATTACATTGAATGGCAGCAATATAACAGATACTTTTAATACAAATTTCATATCATGGCCACCACATGGTGATCAGAATAGACAGCATGTATGGCTGCACGATATGTTGATGACGAAAAATTTCGAATATAGATTTCGGTATGTAAAAATAAGTGAATCAACATACAGGTTAATTCCTTTCTAACTACTAACTTAGTGTTGGCTAGAGAATAATCATAAAAATTTGC